CCAGGATTTCTATTAGTTTTGAATGAGTTGCCAAGATTTAAAATTATTTTTAAAATTCACATAAAAGTCTAGATGGGGCTTCAATAGAAAATTAATCCCAATTATATTTGGCTCACATTGTAACATAGTGACAATTGGCTTGAGTAAAAAAATACTCTTCTATGGAGATGGTCACTTCTTTTTTTGCTAAAGTCCCTCCCTCATGCCAGCCCGATGCACTAATTTACCCATTCTCTTAGCCTGTGTAGACACACGCAACCCTTAGCCCATGCAAAGAAAGAGTCAAGTAGACAAACTTTGCTCATTCAGGAGGTTGCCATTTTCTGAGTAAAAATGCTGGGTGATACATCGATATTTATTTAGATGTGACTCTTGGTTCAATTTATCATTCCTCTACTGGACTCAAGCAGAAGCAAACATTGAAACTAAAAAGCTGAATGGATGTGTATAAATTCTGAATGAGGGCATAAAGAGCTCTGAACAGATATCCATGTGTCTGTGTATCTTTAATTAAAGTGGAGAGAAACTCTATCCACTTCTGCCTGGAACACAGCTGGTGTTTTCTGAGGTTTCCAGAAATGCCCCTCAAGTTGTCCTCCAGATTTTCAATGGCACCTGAACAGTGTCCTTCCAGAGATGACACAATAGAAAGAAACAGTACCCAGGAATGTGAGGGACCTAGGAGAAGATCCTCAACCTCGCTTCTAGACATTAGAGATGATGATTTAGGAGATGGAAACTATTATAGGCAAGTGTAAGACCATTCGCCACCGCCACCTAATAAATTCCGAAATGCTTCAGTTGTGGATCTAGATGCAGGAGCTGGAGTCTCTGTCTAAGCTACTGGGAATGACAGCTCAAGAAATGCAGGATACAAAGAAATGAATGGTAATTTGCAGGCATGCTACAAGAGTCTAATATTATTTTTGGGCCTCTTTGCACCATTACTCTTAAATAAAATGGAGAGGAATGAGTGCTAATACAAGTGTAGAATTACACTACAAGTTCTATTTGTATGTAGCCCTGCCATTCAGGCAAAAAAAAAGGTAATAATGACTTGGAGATCAGATTGGCTCACTGGAGCACAGCAGTAGCAAAGAAAAGCCCCAAATGATTTACACAGAAGAAAGAAAAGGAAGGCGAGATTGGCCTTTTTACATTCAGCCACATTTCCTTCACTTAGTCTTACTAGCAGCTATTTAAAAAAAAAATCTTTTAACCAAAATATTTAAATCATGAATTCATTCATGAGGAATAAATGAAGATGTTTTTAATTTCTTGTGAAACTGAGAATGTGAATTATTAGTTTTCATTTTTTAGAATATTCATCAAAATTACTTTGAAGGCGGCTTCCATATTTCACTAGCTCTGGGATCTCCGTTGCATTTTCAAATCCTCAGCAATCCATAAATACAGCCAGGGCAATGTCCAGGGTGCATGTCTCATAGCCAGACCCTTCACAAGGGCAGAGCACTTCCTGCTCATGGGCTCATTTCCAAACAAATGGATCTTAGTGACTCATTCTCATTGAGTCTGTGTATAGCATGTCAGTGAATTTTATAGAATCTACAATTCCTATTTGACACACGTTTAATCAATTCACCAATTTAATTAACTTTCATAATTATACAAAAAAAAGCAAACTTATGCACAAAAACTTGAGGAATAAACACAACTGTCTCCCCATAGACCCGTACTTCATCTGGGTGGAAGTAGCTGTAAGCAGGTGGGGTGATGAGGACCTTAGTCAGTTTTTGTTTTGAGAGGGGGAATGAGGGACTGGTTAGTCTGGTAAGTTGTCCTTGTGGAGACAAGTTTGAGAGCATTTTTTATGTATCACTGAACTGCACGACAGACGTAAAATAAAACAGTTGGTTAAGATACACCATCAGTTGGTATGCTTTGCTCACGAGTGGTGACCACTAGTGTACAGTATGTGCTGTCTAGAAGCATCCTAGCTATCATTTGTTAAATTAATCCAGGATATATTCATAAGACTATAAAATCTAAATACGTCTACCAATCTATCTTTGTTTTATTTACTACTAAAATACTCATGTTGTTTAATAAATGACTCTTTAAATTGGAAAATGCCAAGGTACTGACACCATTCCAATTTCTGATTATCCAGCACCTGTCAAAGTTTCCTTTTAAATCTTTTCTTTCCAAACATGATTATTGTATTTACAAGGTTCTTTGCCAAATGTACTCTCTACATGTTGCTGCTGTTTTTTGGTCATCTTTATATCAGAAAACGTTTGAAAACATTTGAAACAGAAGTAAAGAAAGAAGGAGGACTGTGACTATCATTTTATTGTCATGCACTCTGCATCCAGAACATGCTTTGACAAAACAAAATTATCTATTGAATTAATCAATGCATTTACTGTTCTAGGAGCTCAGGGCTAAATTCAAGTTTTCCAAAATATAATAGGAAAAATGAAAAAGCACAGACATCTCAATCTCATATTGGCAACACCAGCCAGAGAAACCTGCATCAAAAGGAGTTATTATTTAGGGAAAAGGGGAATAAAAGGGACCCTGAGTTAAATTAAAGTCAATACACTTCCTTGAAGTACAGAGGAATTTTAACATGCTTGCCGTGATTTTTGAGTAAGGACCTTATGGTAATTTCATGAAGAGTATCATGTAGATGGTATAAAAGTTCTCAGAGCAAAGGACTGTGGCTGGTTCTTGCATTAGCACATCTGGCCTGTGATGCTCCAACTCCTGTGGCTTCTCTAGAAGTCAATCAGTCCAGTATCCAGGATGACTGACTCACGTTAGTGTGGGGATCCTCTTTACTGCCCTCAGCCTTTGTGCCCCACCACACACTCTACTTAGATGTGTGAGCACCTGGCAAGATGCGGATTCATCATTTCCAACACTAGGATCCGTCTTCTCACCAGGAATCAGCCTCAAGTGCACTCAATACTAATGATTAGCCTACAGCATGAACATTATCCCGGGCAAATCTGACTGCCTAATAAACTTGTTGGAATCCACATTGAATGATTAAGATCTTTGCTATCTTAACCACCATCTCTATATTTCTTAGATTAAAATAGCTGCAAGGGAACTTTAAACCAATGGAATTTTAAAAAGCAATACAAGTCAGTTAGTTTATAAAGAGAAAGGTAAAAAGAAAGAGTTGTGTTTGTGTCAATAACACTGGGAGATAAGGCAGTTCATTTAGAGAATGGTACTAGTAGAGTTTGCAGCAACTTTGGAGCATTATTATATCTTCGCACATGTTTCATTGTTTGGTTTGAATCAGAACAAATTTCTGATGTTCAGGGGAGTCTGTTTTCACAAATTAGTAGAATACATGTCTCCATGTAAAACAAAGCCTATAAAATTAGTGTGAGACTATAATGTTAATTTCAGACTCTTTACATGTAATGATTCTAATAATGATAAAGGAAACTACCCCATACTGAACCAGATACTGTGCTTAACCCTCTGTGTACATTTTCTTTTAGTCCTCCCAGCAGCTCCTCCTAGCTTAAGTTATTCCTCCCCTAATAATGAGGAAACTGAGGCTCAGAGAGCTTCGGTGACTTGCCCAACACACGTAACAGTGAGCCGCAGAACCAAGGATGAACCCAGATTTGTTTGACACAACACAGAAGCATATGTTTTCCCCTGTGCTCTGCTTTCCAGCAGGTACTTTCCAAGAAGTCATTGCAGGCATTTGTGTCATTTTCTGAAACATGCTGGGCATAGATGAAAGAGGAATGCATGCCACAAGAGTGTGGGGACACAGCACCAGTGTAAGATGATTTGATTTTTAATGCAACTCCACTGTGGTTCAGAGAGCTTTCCAATTCATGCTTGTTAGAATTTCCAAATAATACCTTCCATGACACTGCCCTGTTGAGAAGGCAGATGGAAAGGGGTTTCTTTGTATATTTGGAGTAAAATAAACTGCCTTGGTGTTGAATTGTACTAGTCACACCAGACTTAGTGGTTAAACACAGGAGACCTTTTTTCCTTCTTCGTATACTAGTAAGCAGACTGGTAACCTGATAAACTGGAATTTCTCGCTCCCCATGTTCTGCCTTTTAGAACAGAGGAAAACAAACAGTCTTTATAAATAAATTAAAATTCTAACTAAAAAGCTAATTATAAGTGTATTTGTTTTGTTGGAGGTAAGGCACATCTATTATCATAAAGATAATTAACTCAGTCTGACAGATCTAATAAAAGGACAAGTTTAGCACTGGCTTAGCCGGAAGCCGAAGGCAAGCAATTTTTATAATTACTAGTTATTGTAACTGGGCTCAGAGAAAATGGTCTGTGATATTTAAACAGTAATGTTAATTTGCATTTAGACCTGCCCTCTTTTTTCATGAAAGAATAAGTGAAAAACAGGATTAAGAACAAGTAACCTCAACAACTAAAGAATATATATATATGAAAGTCTCTTCATTTATAAATTCAAGAATTTTTCTGAATAGATAATGGGTGCCCTTCCCAGACAGATGCCTTAACAATTCACCAATGAAATAATGTAACCCAACTTTCTAATGCACAGAGGAAGATATGTGATGCACAATGATGGTTAAAACCATTGTGTTGTGACCCTATTTCATTTTCCCATTTATAGCTATCTATGCACAGTGCCTCTACCACTGGCTAGCTCTTGAATTGAGGGGATTAAAAATAATTGTAAATTAAAGACAATTGCAAATAGGCAAGCAAGGATACTGACTTTGTAACCAATTACTTGCAGTTAGAAAGATGAGGAAATAAAAGGAAAGGTAGCATGCAAAGAGAATGAGTGATTTTCCTTGTCACCCGGCAGCTGCCCTTTAACTAAAGCTTGTCTCAACACTTCATGGCAGACCTGATCCTGGAGCAAAACAAATCAACCTTTTTAAGAGTGGAAGTTACTCTTTAACTGCTCCTATAATAAAGGCTGTAGAAATAAGTAATAACCAGTGTCAGAAAATAGGTTCGTAATACACTAAGAAAAGCACTTTAAGGTAAAACACCTGTTAGTCAAGTATACATTTTATTATGTTCTACAAATATGGTGATAGAATCAGCCCATTACATTTGGTAAATATGTTGTATAATTTCTCCATATAATGCACCGTCCGTGCTCCTGTTGCTACGGTGAATATTTAACCCATCAGCCTAACGAATTGCATTATCAATACTTGCAGAAAAATGTGACAGAGTATGAGCAAATGATCTTTTCCCCTGCTCACTCCAGTCTCCGGCTTCTTGTTTATTTTTTCACATTCTTCTTGGCTTTCCTTTATTTTAAAATGATTTTTTCCCATTTTCTTGCAATATCATAGTCGGGGAAGCAAGTTGATATAGTTTTGTTTTCAGCTTTTCACTAAGGAATTGCAGTCTTTGGAGGACAAAGGCCCTCCTGTGAAGGATGACACTTCTGTTTCAACCTTGACAAAGCAGCATGCCTGGCCTCCCATCTCCATCCACAGCTGGGTTTCCCACCTCTGACTCTGAGATCTGGGTCCTCCATGTCTACCAGATCACGTTCTTATCACATGCCCTGATGATTCCCTTTCAACTAAGATTCACTGATGCAACAGTCTCTGAGCAGGGAAGCTCATGGAAAGGTAAAGAAAAAGAAAGAGGGAGAGTTTCTCCCTTCAAGGATCTCAGGTTCATAATCAGATAAACACAGAATTAGGCATTCCTAATATAAAGTGAGCAGTGTGCCTCAAGGGGTAAGTACAGGGAGCTAGGAGACAGCGGGCATATGAACCCCAGACAAGCAATGGATCAAGAAAGAATCCTAAAAAAAAAGAAGCCAAGATGCTTTCTGGAGGATGGGTGCAGGGGTGGGGGAGGACAATCCAGGAAGAATGGGCAGCATGAACCCTGTTGCTTAGGGAAAAGATGACAGGATTATTAACAGGAACCAGATTTAGCCCTGTCTAGCTACACTTGGCTCATGACACATTTTCAGACAGATAATCTTGGGTATTTTATGAATTCTATGCTTCTCTGTTTCTGTCTTTTGATTCTAAGTTTTTAAAAATCAAGCACTGTCCTCATTACTTCAGTTACAAAACAAAATTTTATATAGCAGACACCCAAAAACAGTGAAATTGCCTGAAATTGAAATTTCCCGCATAGCAGAAATATAAAATATCAAATATTTACATAGTGCAGTTCCTTGGGTAACTAATTATGATCCTTTTATTTTTCTTTTGGTGGGTAGGCGTTTGTGGGGGGGTCATGCTGTGCCACTGAGCTCACACGGCTCCTCTCATTCTTTACGGCTTCACCACGACCAAAACCTAGTAGATTGGAGGCATCAAAAATGAAGGCTTAAGCTTTCATGATAGTTGTTGATTTTCAAACTTATGGATTTCCAAATAATTTCCCTTTATCCAGATATCTCTGAAGTGGATAAGTGGGAGTTGATTCTATATTTTTCCTTGGTGCCATTCCAGGTCATGGCTGGGAATGTAGCAGTGGCAATGGAGCTTGAAAGATGGCGGGGGGAAAAAAAACTGATGGAATAGGTGTCTCCAACCTTTCTCCACATATGGGTGGGCAGAGCACATGCTTCATTTCTTCTGATTGCCAGGGGTCACTGTGTGCAGGCAGGGTTCATCTGCCTGGAATTGAAACCAAATTGACTATTATTTATATAGTCCCAGGTAGGAGTACATAGTTTTGTGTAGTAAGGGAAAGTTGTTCAAAGATGAAGAGTGGAAAATCTTTGCACTCAGTGTCCTCTCCCTTGTCTTGAAAGTACAGTATAATCGAGATCAAAGAAAACAGATGACATGGAGGAGGTGGGAGCTCACAGTACCTAGGTCACTTCACTGAAGGGGTGTGGCTGGGAGCCTAGATTTTGCAAAATGAGTCACAGTGGACTGTCAGGTTGTTCCACAACAAAATGTGGCACCCGGAGGAAGCTCTGCCTCATTTCCTGAAAGTGGAGGGATGAGCCAGAAGGGAACATAGCATAGAAGGTGAAGATAGGTAGAAAGAGAGAAGAGATAAATTTCACATAGTTCCTGATTTGGAAGGACTTCTTTTGTGTGTGTGTGTGTGTGTGTGTGTGTGTGTGTGTCATTGAATACAGAATGTAAATGATTGAACAAGACCTTTAAACATTAAATGAGACACGAAATACTGTAATTCTCATATACTTGAAATTTTTCTTCCCTTAAAAACTCGTTTGCATTGGTTACAAGAAGGAATCTGGAAGGGTATGAGCCTCATGGAAATTTTGCTGAAGCCTGTTCATCCTCATTTGCACTGCAGTATAATTGGTGAGACTCTCAGGAAAGGAGTTTGATTATTTTAACTGTGATTCATTAGTGGAATCAGTCACAAGAGGTGGGGCAACGCTGCCTACTTTAAGTGTTATTCGGAGGCAATGCGTTTTTATTATTATCCATAATTTCTCATACAACAGGCCTGTTACACAAAGCTCTCAGTATTAGTGTGCAATTTCTCTTCAGCTTTTAATGCAGGTCAACTTGTGGGCCTGAAGAGATTGACTGTGGCCCTTTAAAAACATTCCTGAGTTGTGTAGTTCATAATTAATCACAGCAACAGATGCACAATGTATTGTTTCCTTGCTGAGAATAGCATGTTTTCTTTGCTTATGAATTGATCCCTTTAACATTCCTCATGGGAATCTATTTTTCCCTTCGAATGCAAACTGGCTTTAAACTACAGATGTGCTAATCTATCTGTAGGAAGTTCCAGGGCTCATTGATTTGTGGGATGCTTAGGTATTCATCTACTTTAGATGGAATACAGAAGGAAGAGACAATTAATTAAGTCATTCTGCAGTTATTTTTCAAAATCAGAATATAAGCACTGACGGGAGAGCTCCCAAGGCTTCAAAGTTCAGATGTGGATTAAATAAGTATCTGAACTCTTGCAAACTGAGTTGATTTAAAGAGGAATAAAAATATTATATTATATATTAGGGAGTATATGCACTCCTGTGGGGCTTGTCATGTTCATCCTTCAGTTTAAATTATGTGCGTAGTGGTGTGCATTGTTTTGTGTGTTTGTGGGTATGTGAGCACCTCTATTTGATTACAAGGGACTTTGGGAAAAAGTGTTCCACTTTATGCACTGTTCAGCTCTCAGTTCAATACTTGGCTATGGCATGCAGTCATCCACACCCATCTCTTCTATAAAACATTCATTCATTACCCACTTGTTAACCAAATACTAATTGGGCATCTACTGAGAATCATTCCCAGGCTAAAGGAGCTCATAGTAAGCAGGAACCCATAATTATTACTCAGAGAGAAGTAAATTATATTTTCCAATGCCAGTCCTCTTGTTTATAAACCAATGAACTTTTGAGAAGGAAGAAACATCTCCACAAATATATTCTCTGAACTGTATTCCAAATCCTTGCTAGAAGAAGGCAGGAAGAAGAGATTGATTTTAGACTTATCCTTGGAGTATTCAATTTGACTAACATATATAAGCATCTACAAAATTCAAAAGGTAATGCTAGGTCTGCAGCAGCACACCTATTCAAATTTTCAAAAAGAAAACCAAGCAGAAGGATCCTCATAAAATGCATATTTAACTATTCCATGGGCCATTTTTGAGTGTGGAGTCCTTAGAATTTTCAAGGTGGCCCTCCCATGGCCTCCCTGCCTTCATTTTTCTCACTGTCCTTTACACTTAGGGCATTGTGAGTGCCTGTTGGGTCTCTGGATATGCCAAGTTCTCTCATTTCTGGCCTTCACATACAGAACAGGTCTGGTGGAACTTCCTCCTCCACCAGCTCTTCCTTACCTACCCTTCTGGTCTCAATTCAAACTTCTCTCTTTCTTATTTCTACACCTGGAGTTCATGAATCTTTTCTTATTTCTGGACCTGGAGTTCATGTATGTATGCACGGAGGCCAGTAGAACCTATGCTTCTACTAGTCTAACATTTAGATCATAAGAATTTTGGTTAGGATCTCTCTTCTCTGATAGTTATGAGCTCTAGGAAGGCAAGATACTATTCCTAGTTAATGGCTTGAAGGCTAGTATTTAACATGAATTTAACAATTATTTGTTAAAATAATGAATTAACAAAAAAATTAAATATCTCCAATTTTTTAAATGTCTATTTTTTTAGTTGAAGGTGGACATGACACCTTTATTTTATTTTATTTTATTTTATTGTGTTCCGAGTGCCTCATGCAGGCCAGGTGAGCACTCTACCACTGAGCCACAGTCCCAGCCCCAGTATCTCCAAATTTTAATAGAATTATTATATAACAAAATATTTAACACTAAAATATAGTAAACACATTTGAAAGTTTATTTTACTAAAAAAACCCTTTGGAATTTCTCAGTCACCTGTAAATAATTGTTTTAAATGGAAGTAATATTTTATTTCAGGTTACAAAGTAGTCAAAGAGAAATTTATGTTTGATCAAGAGAAAATAAAAGTTTTCTATATTTTATTCCATGATGTAAATTATCATAAAACACAAAGTTATTACCAATATATTGTCTCTTTCCATATCATCACAGTGAATAATAAGAAAAAAATTCTGTATTCTGGTCAGTAATTATTGCAAATAATGTAGTTATTTTCTGTTACTACTTTCAGATAATGGTTATTAGGCAATTTAAAATATTGGCTGAAGATCCCTCTTCATTTAATTTCTTGATGAGTCTATTTTTCTCCTTTAAGAAATGGGAGTAATATAATGAATTTCAGAGTGTCAACTCAATTATTGTTTAGCAAATACTCTAATTTTAGATCTATTCCAGATCCATGAAATAAAAATATTGTCATGGCTTGCATATGAGGGGTATCCTGAAAGGCTCATGTGTTAGGTGATAAAGGAGTGTTCAGAGGTGAAATTATTAGATTATGAGAGCTCTGACTTCATAGGATCCACTATTGATCAGTGGATTGGTAATCTGAAAGGCAAGTGCATTGGGTAGTAATTGTAGGGGGGTGGGAAATGGCCTATGAAGCAGTCAGGGGGGTGCCTTCCGCCTGTGTCTATCCCTGACTCCTCACTGGTTTTTTTCTTTCTGCTTTCAAGATGCTTTAAGCTCCTTTGCCAGGCTCTTCTACTATGATGTTTTGTCTAAACTTAGGCTCAGAGCAATGGAGTTCTCCAATCACATACTGGAGCTGTGGAATCATGAGCCCCAAATTAACTTTTCCTCTTCTACATTGTTCTTATCAGGTATTTTGGTCACAGCAACAAAATGCTGACTAACACAAATACAAGCCCAACATATCAAAGCCTCACAATTTTAGAACTTATATTCTAAAGTACTGCATACAAGCATCAAAATGATTTTCTTTTTTTGTACTATTTTTGATTCCGAACTTTAATCTGTGAGTCTTGCAACCATAAAAAGTTTAGTTCTATGAGCAAGAACAAAAGAAACTGCATCTGTGATGTCTAATGACAACATGCCCTAGTGACTGGTGAGAATTAATCTATCAGCAAATAATTTAATTTTTTTGAATTCATAGAAGACACAGGGATGAAACACAATTAGTTAATCTATAATCATGGAAAATTCAGAAAGCTTCTAGGGACAGCAAAACATAGTTGGTTGATGGTCTATTTCAAATGTGTGAGATCCTCATTCAAATATTCTCAGAATTTACAGCTCTATAAACTCATGAGTAAACCAGAACAATTGCATAATATATTAAGAAAACCAAGTGAAGTCTCATATACCCCATTTTTTAGTTTCAGAATTTGGAAAATAAATGTAGTACATTGTAAAAGAGGGATCTTCAAGATCTCTTATGTTCAAATCCTGACCATTGCTAATTATTTTCTTTTCTCAGGATGCATTTCCTTCATCAATAAGAAAATAGTATGATAATCTTAAAATTAAAAAAGATCAGTGGTTTATGCTTTTATTATTGATGCTTTTCCCACCTTCAGTTTTTCTGTGGTGTTGACTAGGCAGAGGGAACTGAAGGGAGGAGAGGAGATATGGGGGTAGGAAGGATAGTAGAATGAATTGGATATTATTACCCTAAATTCATATATGACTACACAACTCCTGTGATTCTACATCATGTACAACCAGAAGAACAAGAAGTTATACTCCATTTATGTATGATATGGCAAAATGCATTCCACTGTCATGTGTAACATTAGAACTTAATTATAACAACAAAAGAATATACTACAAACCAGGTGTGGTGTTGCATACCTGTAAACCCAGTAACCTGGAAGACAGGCAGGAGGATTGCAAGTCAGAATCCAGACTCAGCAATTTAGCAAGACCTTAAGTGTCACAAAATTAAAAAAATAAATAAATAAAAAAATAAAAAGGGCTGGGAATGTAGTTCAATAGTAAAGCATCCCTGGGTTTTATCCCTAGTACCAAAAAACAAAGTGCTGTAAATGAGGATCTCAAAGGGTAAAGGGTAGCATTCAAACCCAGTTGAATAATTAAATTGTGTCACTTGAATTCAGTGAGTCACTACCTATGATTTTTATTAAATCAACTTTCAGAGAAGGGCTCTCAGCTTCTGAGGGATTGAATTCAACATATGCCAGGAGATTATGATCAAGGGTATATATTCCCAAGAAAAACCTCTGAAAGACCTGGGTCTCAAAATGTCCCTAAGCAAGCAATCATGGCTCCTA